TCTTTCCCTGTCAGACACGTTTTCCCTTCTCTCGAAAGTAGTTTTCTTAGGACAGAGCTTCCAAAAGAGAGGGGTGTGCCTCCCAGAAGTACCCAAGGACCCGTCCTGCCTCTGTCCTGGGTGGGCTGCCAGGAGCCGCATCCTCAGCTTGGGCAGGTGGGTGCCCGTATGCAGGGCCCTGGCAGTGGCGGGTGTCCCTCTGCCTGCCCAGGCTCTGCCTCTTGTGCGGCTGGTTACACGCCCACCGCTCACGCTGCCACTCACGGGCCACCCCTGCCCTTGAGGCCGGAATCCCCACCCGTGTTCGAATTCTTGGACCAAACACAGGTCAGTGAAGGCCGAGGTGCCCCCAGCTGCTTGGCCTTCCAGGTGCCGGGCCTGGTCTGGAGGGCAGGCTTGGGCGTGCTCGCTCCAGGGTCCAGCACAGGAGCACCTGATCGTGTCCAGAGTGAGTTCTGTCGGTGGCATGTGACCTCTGGCGTGTGAGCCCTGCTGAGGGTATAGGGCGGCCCCTCATGACAGCCAAGGCCAGGGTGTTGCAGTGGGTGCTGAGGGCAGGGGGGTTCCTCGCAGGCGGGCCTTCTGGGTGGGGATCCCAGGAGATGGAGCAGCCTGCCCAGAGCCCCAGGCAGCAGAGCTGGGTCGGGCCCAGGTCCCCTCTCATCACATGTGGCCTTGCCCACGGTGCCCACCCGGGACAGTGCCCTCCAGCAAGCAGCGTGGCTGGGCCCTGCCAGGCCTGTGTGCAGCTCACACCTAGGGGCCAAGGGCTGACCTGGCTTCCAGGGACTCACTGTGGACTCGAAGCAGCCTGAGAAAAGGTGGACGCGAGATGAATAAAGCCAACTTTGTACAAGCCGCTCGGTCACGTCCTCCAGGTTTTAAGTTGGATTTTATTCGTGGGAAGGCCGAGGATGAGGCCGGCACCAGTGGTCTCTGGACGCCCCTCCCTGGGCCCTGGCCTGTCTTTTGCCTCCCTGGTGGTGGTCACTCTCACCCTGGGGAAGGAGACAGGGGCGTGGGCTGGTGCCCTGTCCCAAGACCAGTCACCCCGAGCTGGTCTCCAGCCAAGCCCCAGGGAAGATGTGCGTGCCAGCCCTGTGCCCCCCTCCCCCAGGCCTGATGCACCCCAGGGACAACTGGGGCAGGCCCCGCCAGACTGCGGGAGGACGGCAGCCCTCAGCCTCACTGGCCACTGCCTCAGGGAAGGGCTGTGGGCAAGGATCCTGGGACCACCCGAAAGCAGGGTGGGCACTCTGCAGATGCTGGGCCTTGGCTGGCGGCCTGGTGGGAGCATGGCAGCGGCACAGGTGCTGGGGAGCAGACGTCCCTGCCCATGGCACCGGACCGTGCCGCCCACGTCACAGCAGCTGCCTGCATGGCTTGAGATGCTCTCCCCTGGCCGAGTCATCCCATGCCCTCCAGAGGCCCCAAGCCCTCCGAGCTGCTCTCTCCACCCACGGCTGCTGGCAGAGCAGGGAGTGGGGGTCCACAGAAACGCCTCAGGCCAGGCTGCTCTCCTCCGCCCTGCTGCCACCCCATCCAGCCAGGCCCTGCTGAGAGCCTGTCCTGGCAGGCACGTGGCACTGTCAGGGTCAGCAGAGGCACCAGCCCGCCCCTAATACCCACTGGTGCTCAGTGCTAGAGCCTGGAGCATCACTCACCTCCCTGCCCTGCCAAGCCCTTACTGCCAGTCCCCAGGTGTGGCTCAGCCCCGAGGGCTCCCGGGCCAGAAGCAGCCCGTCCCAGGTGCCTGACAAACCTGACCGTCTTACACCCTGCACAGGAAGGCGGGAGACGCCTGAGTACTCCTGGGAGGGGCCAGGTCACGGCACCCCCCTGTCCGGCTGTAGCAAAGGACAGGCCGGCCTTCATGGCAGTGAGGCCACCCAGGTATGCCGTTGGGGACAGAGTGGGGCTGGCTAGTGTGTACTGCTGTCTGCTCGGACAGGGCAGGAGTGGCCAGCAGGTTCCCACAGAACAGAACACACCGGCCTGGCCATGGGGGCACAGGCCTACTGCTGGGATGTGGGGAGGCCTCAGGGACGCTGAAGCAGAGGGTTGGGAGCTGAGGCCAGCTTGGCCACATAGCCAGCGCCTGGGTCTGAAGAGCTAGGTGAGCTGGTTTGGTGGCTGAGGTGGCCTGACCCACACGGTCAGGTGTGTGACACCAGGTGCATGTGCACATGTGCCCAAGCCCTGCAAGGCAGAGCTGGGGAGGGACCATGGCGAGCTGCGTGGGGTCTTGCACATGTGTTCTCGAGCAAGCGTGCCCGCCCTGCTCCTGGCACTGGCCGAGAGGACTGCAGTGTCCAGGGGCCTTCCCGCAGGAGACAGCTGGCCAGTGCGGGGCGTGGGCAGGAGAGGGCCCTGGCAGACAGTGCAGACAGACGGCAGCTCTGAGCGGGAGAGGGCATTCACCACCAAGGCCACGCTGGGTGCACCTGCCCTGCGGGATTCCAGAGCGGGGGTGGGGGTGTCCTGAGAAGGTGGCCTCCCTGTCAGGAAAGGTCCCTCAGGGCTGGCGCTCTCCACCCTGGGTCCTTGCTTAGTCGCTCTGTGAGGTCAGGCGGGCCCTCGACCTCGGGGGCCCACCATGTTGAGGGCCCTGAGTCCCAGCAACCATCACCTAGCCTTCCTGGTAAGGACCATCTGGAGACTGGCCTGCCCGGGCCCACCTGTGCCAGAACGTTCTGCTCCCTGACGCCTGCTCTTGTGAGTGCCAGTGGGCTCCCCTGGACTGCAGCGTGGGCCCGCGGGGCTGCCCTGCTGCTTCTCGGGAGAGGAGCAGGCGTCCCTGGGGAGGGGATGCCCTCTAGCGGGCCAGGCCACTGGAGGGCACCTCTGCACCTCACAGGAGAGGAGGGGACTGGGGCGCAGGCAGGGTGGGCAGGACAGGGCGGCTTGAGAGGCAAGGTGCTACCCAAGGGTCCAGGTCAAGACCCGGGGCAGGAGTGGGCAGTGCAGGTGGGTGCCCACGCGGAGGCGTGGGATTGGGGCCCAGCCAGCTAGCCCTGGATGCCGCCCACCGGGGACAAGCAGCCCTTCCCTGGGGCCAGATCCCCCGCCCTTGTGCCGCTGTCCCTGCTGGGAGGCTGGCCTCCCCCAGCTCTGGCTGCCTCCTTCAGGAAGCCCCCCAGTCACCTCTGCCTGCATCCGGCACAGGTTCCCGCCCTACAGGTCAGTGGCTGCGCTGGTGCTGGTGGCAGTGCAGGTTCTGGGAAGTCCCCGCGGCCCACAGCTACCCGGAGGGACCTGCTGCGGTCACCTCGCTGTTCTGTCGCCCGGGGGCACCCAGGGCACGCCCACAGCCAGGGCCTGTCCGCTGGGGAAGGGGCAGGGGCGGGGGGCGGGGG